GGGGTGACTGTACCCCCAAAAAGTCTTACTAAACCTGTGAATATGGTGTTGAAAACTCAAGCTTATATATTGGTGGGTACATTCCCCCCCCCCCCCTCCCATGGCCAAGACCTCGTTATGCCCTTGTAAAGAGGAGAATGATAACAATAACAATAGGTWCATTTTTTAGGGTTCATTTTTACCTCCAAGTTCCTTTATTGCTCTGTCTCCATCCTTTCGTCTCATGTAAGCAACAAAACCACAATTTCTGTTCCTGGATTTTTCTTCATCAGTCCGAGGCCACATGATCTTTACACTTGCCAGTGGGCCATGCTTTCCAAAGAGCTTCATCAATGCCTCTTCATTCATCTAYGAGCAAATGATGTGGCTATTTTATTCAAAATTCTATTTGATTTAAKCATGCTATGAGTAATGAACAGAATTTATTGCCCCTAGTTTTTTCGCTACACTCTGATTGAAATAAGCCTTGAGTCAGGAAAATTGAGCAATAGACTTTTATCAATTAAAAAATCATTAAAGCAATTAAATGTTAGGGCTAAAATAAAGGCTGGTAGTTCAATAGTCAGGACTGGCCAARGTAAATTTACCTTGGTAATACAGTCAACTCTCGCCTTGCGGACACCCTGATATTACGAACACCTTGCYATTACGGACAGGAGAAAAATCCCCGACAAAAATATTGACAAAGAAATGACCGTAATAAATTTTCACTATTGCAGACGTTCACTGTTACGGACATGAAATGACGGTCCTGAGGGTGTCCGCTGTAACGAGAGTTGACTGTACCTTGGTCAGACCTCTTTTCTGAATCGATGTTTCTGGTCAAAATGACCAGCTAGGYAAAGATTTGGTCAGATAAGTCCTAATTCTGGGTGGACATTGTCCTATCCAGCTGTTATTTTAAGCTCTGAAGGTATGGTACATTAGAATGACATAATTGAYTGACAGTAGTTTATTGCTTGATTTCCCTGCTGCGACAGTTGTCTCAATAGGTGCATAGCAGAGAAAAAGTGTTAACTAAGGAAGATTTTCAACTTACCTTTGGGCTAATGTTTCCAATATATATATTTGTAGTGTTAGGATCTCCTGTATCGTGTGAACCAGTTGCATATGGATCATCAGCTGCAATAATATTWAAAAAATTGTATGTCTCAGTGAGTTCCTAAAGCAACAAATACAAATTTGTGTTATGACYATCTCTGACTTGCCAATGTACATTTAAAGTCCATACAGAAATCTTCATGTACGAACTTAGTATGACCATCTCTGACTTGCCAATGYACATGTAAAATTTATTAAAACAGCCTATACCATATAAAAGAACAGTTCAAAAATTTGAATGGCATATAGTAGCAAAACTCCCAAAGATATTGGAGATCAAAATTAGACAGTTCTGTTTGGATGTAATCCAACAAATTCAAAGGTTCGTAATTCTTAAGGGATATCTCATTTCATTTCCCCCCATTCATTTAATTCTATTGTAATTCTAAGAGCATTGAGGTATTATTTTATCTTAATGCACTAGAATAAAACTATTATTATTGTTATTATTATTTTCCCATCTTCACAATTTTCTTTCATTTGAAAAAGGTAATTGCCATGAAAACCTAGATTTTAAATCTTTATGTTAATGAGCCGTTGACATTATAAAAGTGTCCCACTGCTATCGATAGTAGCCCTGCACTTACATTTAGGTGTGTTAAGAAATGAAGCTGGTAAAGCACTCAACACATCACTTGGTATGTCTGTTATGTCTCCTTTTTTGATTTTATGTCTTAATTCTCTCTCTTGCTGATTCCTACAGTATTCATCACAAAAAAGAATCCCATTTGTTAGTTGCCCAAAATTATGTGATTAACAAGTAAGAATAGACCSTTTTCAAGTTCCAAATTACCKCTGTGTTTCTTGATTACAGACTCATTTACTCAGGCTTAGCCTCAATTTTGCRAAGAATACTCATGTGTTCCAGTCAAGGTCAGTCAAGTTTCAAAGTGCTYGTATTGTTGAAGTTGTGCATTCTTTACTTTACCGTTGGTATTTGYRARTAATTAGACACTGATTYGAGGCTAAGCCTGAGTAAATGAGTCTGTAATCAAGAAACACAGCAGTAATTTGGAACTCGAAACTGGACTATTGAAGTCTATTCTTGGGGTGTATGTTATGTCATAACCACCATGTTGGCTCWTGAAAACAAAGTATTCCTCACTGAGGGAGAATACATAGCAAGCAGTTGATGTAATGTATTCATAAAAATACAATGAGGCGCACCTAATACAATAGATAGAATGACAATAGAATACAATACATTTTCTGGATTCATTACATCAATTGAGTGCTATGTAGGTTCTCCCATTTCTCATTGGCTTCTCTTGTTAGATCAACYATCATGGAGGTTGTTTTATTGTTATTTATATCTCAAAAGATGAGTCAAATGGTTGCACCACAAAACTTTTTTTTCAAACAACATTTGCTACAGTTTTTGATACTCRGTTTGGTTTTTCACTGCCRTCAATCAAAAAGAATCAGTCAGTACCTTTTAGGTTCCTGACTTGCGGCAGTGAAAAACTAATTTCACAACAAGCTGTTGGAATTTCTGARTTCATGGAATATGGAAAACTKCAGTAAATTAATAAAGTATTTTAATTAAGAATTTCTAAAAATCTGTTTTGCTTTTTGCATACCTTTTTAATTCTTCTTTGAAAAGTTCAAGGTTACTTTTCTTTTTCTCCTTTTCTTTTCCTTTCTTTTTCATATCCTGCAACCAAAAAGTACATATATCATTCATTTTATATTTTCCAACCATCACTCTCTGTGAGAGGAGCTTCGGTGAGGCTGGTTTTTCCACAGGCACAACTATTACATTCATTAGACTGATTTAGTAAATGCAAAGTGACATTATTAATGAAACAGGGTTTCCTCTCATTTTGAAAATCCAAATTCCCTGATTTCCTCTGACTTTTCCTTGACTAGATAACAATTTTCACTGTCTACTACGGCTGCATGCTTTAATTAGTTATGCTAAGTCCTTCTCTTATAATATTCCAGTGGATACCCAAAATCAAACTGTCTGGTATTGGCATTGTCTACGTGACCAGATTACTAAATCAATAAATTTTTGTTTATTAGGAAAGATTTCTTAATCTATCCTGAAAATTGCAACTATAATAAGCATCACACAGCTACTGATGAGTTAACTGTGAACAAATTTCCTTGACTTTTGCCAAACTTTTGGGAAAAAAATAGAAAATTCCCTGACTTTGAAAAAAATCTTAATCAATCAATCACTTTATTAATTATTAATTATTATTTATTATTTATTAATGTGACTGTGGTAACCCTGACGGAAGAGGAAGGTACATGTGTTGACAAATAGAGTTCAATACGGCCGGATGCCATTTCACATCACATTTAGGACGTCATAATGGCAACAGCTGTTTTAAAAGCTATTTGTCAGCATGAGCACCATCCTCTTTCACACCACTTTGTGTTTGCTTAATCAGTCTAATTGATGGTTTTMAACCTTTCCCCAGAGAATTAAATAACAAAAGACACAGCAGCCATGTTGGAGGATATAACAGAAGAATTCATTGACATTTCTTTTGTTAAGTTCCTCCAACATGGCCGCCTGGAAAACCATTAATATTTACACACAACACACAACTCACATGTTTATTTTTACAACAGGAACCATTGGATTAAAACTTAAAAAGTTCTCTATCTATACTTATTATAGTTCACTTGCTAGTTTTCTTACCAATTTTTGTGGTGTGTCTGTCTTTATTTTCTCTTCCATTACAGCAGAACTAAGTTTAGCCATTGGTTTGTAAAGTCTTCCAGAATCATCAGATTTAGTTTCAACTATCACAAAAAAGAAAAAAATTATGGGCGTACAATGGCAAACTTCATTTGTGTTTTATAAATTATACATTTCACACGACTTTACAACTCTGAGGTGGTCAGAAAACCTGGTTGAATTAGAATTTGACTTTTGTGGAGGGAGGAAAACCAGAGAACTCACACAAAAACCCTTGAAGCACATGAGGGAACCAACAAACCACTCTACTCACATACAATACCAAGGCCAGCAGGGCTCGACCCTGGGTCACGTTGGCGAGAGGTTGCTGATAACAACCATGCTTGCGCTGTATAATTTATAAAGAAGTACGAGAAAACAGCATTGTAAACTATATAGTTCTTTCTTTCTATGTTATAAAATAAATTAAACATATTTTCAACTTAGGAAGCACTGAAAGCATCCGAGAARTGTGAGAAGCACTTGCCTACAGCTTGTTTTTTCTTCACATTTCCTTCACGCTTACATCACTTTATGTGTGCTTTAATACTAAACGGAGCATTAAAAAATCTGCTTTATTTGTTAAATACCTTTTGTGTCTGGGTTGATGGTGCTTCCACGGACAAATGTCTTGCCCTTTGCTCTTGAGTCCTCAAATGAAGCCACAAAATCTGCAAATACCTCTGCACATTTCTCCTCATCTCTCTAAAGTTGATAAATAAGRTGAAAAACTAGAATTCATATCCTTTAGGTGATAATAGTTTTATGGAAGCAAGAGATAAAGTTATAGAAAACATTTAATAAGTTTAAATAGTATACAGTACATGTTGCTAAAAGACTTCAAATCTTATTGAACCCAGAAACAACCTCTGTGATGCTCCCAGTCAGGGTAAGGCTAACTCAAAGTTCAAACCCTGAAACAATCTCTAGCCTGATCTAAGTCAAGGCACAGYTACAACTCAAAGATAAAACCCTAAAACAACCTTAAGAGCAGATCACAGTCAGGACACGACTAACTCATGAATAATCCAACACTGAAAACAACCTCAAGGCTGATCAAAGTCAGCTAATCAATAGATGATAAAATTGGAATTTATTTCGGCATTTGAARTGTGCAGGATTTYTTTKGGGGGTGGGGGTGGGGAGGTTGTATGATAGTATATGGCATTTGTTATGAAAATCACAGGAGAAGAGGGAATCTCACAAATTTCTGCAAGTGGGTAGTCTCCAAAACAATGCATTGTGGTAAAGAATAACATTTTTTGATGATCGCCATCAATACATATATAAGAAGAATCCCAACAAATGTCTTCAGAAAAATACTTGCAATACTTAGATCTTGATAATTTACTTGAAGATCTTACTACGAATTCAGCTAAAGTGCTTTGGGTTTCAAAAGCAGTTCATTTATGACAAATCAAATGATAATTGAAAACATATTTGGATAACTTGACGTAGATTTGCAGTTACTAGTAAAGATAATTACCAGCAGGAAAATACTTCACAAAAGCATTACCTTTTTCCTTTCTTCTAACTCTTGCTTGGCTTTAGCCGCCTTTTTTGCAGCAGCATTCATTGTACCACTTGAAAACGCTTTCAACTTGTCTCCAGTCARAGTCTGCAAAACGTGGTGAAGAAACTGCTGCTTTCGATTGATGTCGAAATAGTCCAACAATTCAAGGTTTTTATACCGATTTAAGGCACCAGAAAGTAAGGTGATACTTCGTTAAGGATTTTCATACCTTCATTGAACCTGGAGTCAATCCATCGGCTGATAAACCCCACGGTAAAGTCTTCTTGTCTGGATCCTTACGCACCGCCATTTTGTTCTTATTGGAGTCGCTGAGATCCTATCCCGTCATGCTGTGCGCGTAGTGACGCACCTTCAAACGAGGCTTAGGAAAATTCCGAGTCTTTACTGGGTAGCCTGTGGCAGCCCGGTCTAAAAATGCCAAATTGCGCAATAGTATCAAGGGGTCTTCACGTCACTAGTCCTTTGCTGACAAATGATACAAATATCCTGTTTAAAGACTGATTTATATTCAAATTACAGATGCCAATCAATGTCTAAWTTATCAAAGTGATTGATTGGGGGTGGGGCTATAAATCACTTTTTTCCAGGGATTTTCCTCTGCTAGATTTTCAATTTGATGGAATTGGAAAGACAGGAATAGATTACTCAATAATAGAAAAGTTCCATTATTCCATATTCTATTATTTTAAAAA